TCTCAGAGGGGCGCTAGTGAGCTATTATAATTTAGTTTGACTTATGCCCACTGGGTTAGTTAGCCTTATTAGTCTGTAGTAACTAATAAGCTTTTTGCAGTTACAAAATGTATGTCACAAATCCTCTTCATTAGTTAAGTGTCCCCTAAATTATGTTTTTACAAAAGTTTGTTTATGCAAGTTATAGAGTAACTATGCCCTTCAAATTAAAACCTAACTCAACGGTTTATCATCAGCTTTCTTATCTTGTAGATTCATCCATATAATTAATGAAATTGATTTCTTTCAGTATAGCAGAATAATTAATCTATAGTTTTAAATGCTTCACTGAAACCGTGCGTGTGGGTTTAAGTAAATGAACTAAACTGATATACTGACTACCCTGACCTATTCATAATGATAAAGATCCTTTCGCAATACAAAACGTTCATACAAATATCACTAAAGCGGTCATCCGCCGAACATTTACACAAACGATACTTTACTCAAGTTAAATATCTAAAGTTCCAGTAAACAATATCTTAGAAAACAATACAACTAAATGTAAGTATGCAACATTTTACATCATTGTTACTTCTTAGATTTAAAAGATCCTCATAAGAAATAAGGATACCTATAGTTTACGGTTCTATAAATTAAACTGGCAAATTAAATATATATATATATATATTGTAAACTAGCTGTCACCCGCGACTTGTCCACGCGGAACTTAATCATACCTTCTTCTAGACTAAGTTCTACATCTATGCCAAATTTCAGCGAGATCTATGCTGCCGCTCGGGAGGAGCTGTGGCTTTTAATGGTAACGGTAACGGTCACTTCGCTATTTCAGCGATTTCAGGTTGCCTTGTTTGCCACCCTATGACAAAAAAAAAAGAAAAAACAAATATCAATAATGAATACATTAGTTTGTTTAAAAGCTGTAAGAAGGAATCTTAAAAGTTATTTTAATAAAATTTAATTTTAAAATAAACATTATTGCACTGTTAGTTCTAAAACCTTTTAGTTTAAAAGCTAACAGTTATAAAAATAATTAACTAATATCATTTTACAGAATTTTAATTCGACCACCTTTTACACGACATAAATATAATAAGGAAGTAATTAATTTTATCATTTTAAAATAAGAAATCGATGTATTGAATAAACAATACGTACAAGCAAACTATTGAAAGCTCTTTAACATTTTATCTCGTTCAAAATTATATAACAAAGTTAGTTCTTAACAAAAATCTTTTGCAACTTCCCGTCGCTAGATGTCGTTACATACCAATTAGTAATACAACAAATAAACTAACATAACGCGAATAACTATTATTAAGAAAATGTTAAAACTACATGCCACGTTTGACCTTGGACTATTTACATACATAACTACAGACATCCTCTTAAATAAATGCGCATCAATTCCTCTCCATATTGTCTCGTTATTGTCATTGAAAACTTTTATATCTTTAAACGAATTCTTGTGATTATTGCTTTACCCTTGTGGAATATAATAGCCAAAATTATAATAAATATTACGTCTTAATAAACAAATACTATCACACTTAGAATGTTTCCTTGCGTTTATTAATATTGAATATTAGAAAATTAATGTTCGTAACGGTAATGGAAAACAATATTTTCAAGGAAAAATGAAGAATTTACAAAACTTAATACGTAAGTATGACAAAAATATGAAAAACGTTGTGAAAACGTGAAGTGACAATATTCAATTTCATGTTTAGTTTAAACTGGTCATGAAAATAAATTAGGGCGAATTTTCAGTAATCATGCAGTCACATTTCTTGTTCACGCATGTCATAGCGCTTGCTTGCAAGAACCATTGTCATTATTAGGGCCCGCATACATAGGGCGATACTTTTCATGTCCGCGTACTGTTGTACTTGTCAACTGAGTCCCCGCACGTCACTTGCTTTATATCGACCTATCACTTTCATTATACGCATGCTGATTTATCGACTAATGAAAATGCGCCCTTACTTCATTATAAAACATAAAGTTAAAGTTTATAAGAATAGTTTAAATTTTGAGATCTCTATTAAATTCAAATGTCATTCAAATACACACCCACACAATGGTATAATACGTTGCTCGCGATATTCAACGGTGAAATAACAAGACGTTCGCAATCTATTATTATGTTACAATTTTCGACTAACGTTGAATTAGTACACTGGTTCAAACTAATCTTCTAATATATTGAATATTAACTAGAGCTAGAGTTTATAACCAAATTTTACATTTTAAATCTTTTAAATAAGAATGGTATACAAGTGTTATTATCATTTGCTTTTAATGTTTCTTTGTTACAAACAATTGTTTAATAGATTTTAACTAACTGCATTTTCTGGAAATGGCTCATAAAATTTCCAAAGATGTCGTAAAGCAAAACCGTTCAAAAAGTTGTAAAAATGAACAGTAAGATCGTAAACATCACTTTCTGCCGCTACCTAGATCCGGCCACTGAACAGTTACAGTTAGACTCTTGTGTTATACAACTGTGTAAGTCTGTGATTTACTTATCGTGGCGTTAGTCAAGTAAAAGGCATTAAATAAAGGACTTTTGACTTTTTTTTGTTCGGAAAAAATATAAAAACGATTTTACACTGTTAATTCATGATTTTGCTCTTTCGTGCAATTCTTATTAGTGGTTCTATCTTGTTGTTTTAGAATTTCATGTATGTATATAGTTCTAACTAATAAATTCGAATGTTTTGATTGCTGGATGGATGGATGTTTGAAGGTATCTCCAGAATGTTTGAACGGATCTTGATGAATTTTGACATACATATAGAACAAAGTCTGAAAAAACACATAACCTACTTAATATGTTTTTATTAATTGTGCGCGGACAGAGTCGCGGGCGACAGCTTGTAGAGTATAAAATCGAATTCGATATTCGGCTAATGAAAACAGCACTCATATTAAAAGGTTTTAATAAAATAAACTATAATTATTTCGGTGTAAATATCTTCATTGTTTATCGTTGTGAATGGAACAATAGAGCACTTGCTGCATAAAATTGGACAGTTTACTCTGACGTCGACCCTGACATCTCGTCTCCAAACATTTGACGATCGCCGCCTAGGCATACGTGAACTTTCACCTATTCTCAGGTGCAGCAATGAAAATCCATGGTTATTTATATCTATTCTAGTTTAAAGATTAATGAAAAATTTTTAAGTAACTTTAATTAGACTAAAGCTATAAGAACATATTTTTTTATATTTGCTCATTAAGGCTCCACACAATGTATATGTTACATTTTAATAGTCATATTAACAATAAAAAGGTCACTTTAAATTGTTGTAAATGTTGACATATCATATCTTAATTAACAAAAGTTATATTCAAACTTTAGATACCGACTGTTTTATTATTTAAAAAGTAATTCTGTAGTATATTTTGTATTTAAATACTGATGAATACAAATTTTATAGTTTTTAAACATTCTCGGAATTAAATTGACGCATTTCAGGGACAATTGTTTCACAATATCGATACGAAACATCGAGAAATTCATCGTAATGCGTCATAATAATCTGATTATATTACTTTTGTCATATTTAAAGTTTTAGAGTGATATAAAATGTCATTCCAGGGACGTCGACTTCTATGGGATGTTAACAAATCGATGGCGTAATTTGTGACCATAAAAAAGATCGATTCTACATTTCTTAAGTCATTGCGATGTTCTATAGTAGAAATTTTTGAACCAATTTTGGTGAGTGAGGTAATTCTGTTAGTATTTCTGTGCGAAGTGTCATAGTGTTTGATATGTCGGCCTTAACGATTCAGGCACTAAAATCTCTGTATAGAATATATCGTCATCCCTATCATGATATTTTACATAACAGAGATTCAAAGGTCGGCAACGCATCTGCGGTTCCTCTGCTATTACTGATGTCCATGGGCGACGTTGAACACCTCGTTGTTCCTGCTGCTCTTTTGCCCCCTTCTGTTATAAAAAGATAATATGTTTTAAAAGTAGGCTAGGGCAGTAGGCCATGATTAGTTTATCAGTAACAACTGCAATTAGTGAATCTAACCTGAAACCTACATTGTCTCCGTGTACAATAGTATTTAACATGGATTTATCTATCCAAACTTTTAAAAACAAAGTAGGAAGCTCATCTAGCAATTTTATATCAGTGTTCTATTGGAGTATATTTGTTTAGGCATTCCTAAATTCCTTGAAATTTCCAATAACATTTAAATAATATTATCTTTTGTTAAAGAATTAAATGTTTAATTTCCAAACAAAAGATAACAAATGATTTTTTTAATCGCGTCGCTCGATCGATCAAATTAAAATATTCCTCCAATTAACATAATGCAAATTTTTAATAAGAAAAATTAATATTAACAAGTTACACGTCAAATTTGTAGAATCCTTGCAATATTTTATTGATATTTAAATTAATTATTAAATAACAGTTGTTCAGAGACGAAACACAGACCAAATTATGGTCTAATTGGCCCAAAACATGCCAAAGACTACGCGAAATCGCTGAAACCTACCGATCACTTGGCTGTCAACGATCCAAGAGAATCTAAAAGACTACGATATTGATGGAAAAATCCTGGAGAATTATCTGGAGAGTTAGACAAGAAAGGTCGACATCAAATAATTGGGAAAAAGCAGAAGACGAAGTTATTAAAAAATACTGTTAACTATTATTTATGTTAAACTTTATATGACTCAGAAATACTCTCAAAGGTTAAGGGCCGAGCTTAAAGCATAAAGAACACTCGGCAAAAACTTATTTAATGGAAAAGAAGCTAGTGATCACCAGAACAAATCAACAAAATCATATTCCATTAGCGATCGATTTAACTAGCGAAAATATATCTGTAAGTTATTCTTAAAGTCCTTTTAATCTAATAGGTTGATAATTCACGTTATGCGTTGCACTTGGAATAACATTAGCACAAAATTTCAGGCGTACGCAAAGGCTCGATAGCGTGCGAAGCTATATATGTTTGTGAGGACGCGCCGGCGCATCAAAACGTGCCTGACTCGCGCCCAGTGGCGTGCCGCGCTGTGCTCTGTACGTCATAATGCAGTGTGTGTGCTAATCTACTGACGGGAACAATGGTGAGCTTTTATTTATTTTTATGATGTTTTTAATACAATTAAAACATAGGAATTATTGGATAGATAAATAAATAAATCATCATGTAAAATAACGTAGGAAAATTCTTTAAAATAAATAGCATTAATAAATTTTAAATTAAAAAAGACATCAACGCGTCTTCAACTTAACAAAGTGTGTTCGTAAATAACTTAGTGGTTGTAAAGTTGTTTAAAATATATATTTCTTGTGATTATAGCTTATTTATATGCAATACTTACAAGAGTTATTATTAAAGTGTTGTTTTGTACGTTAGAATTAACCAAAAGTCGAACCCAACGACATTTGACCCGGAGAGTAGGCAGATTCACGGAAAACAAAGGCTACGTGAAAGTGTAGACGAATTGTTTGCATGCGCAACAGCGAACGTTGATAAAACCAATAATTTGCAATCTCTTGATATATTGCGTTATCTCTTCAAAGTGTGGTGGATATAAAAACTTAAGTTATCATTATATCATATAGTATTAAAATAACTATAAATTGAGATTGAATTAAGTAATATTTGAATATAAGTAATGTAAGGTGAATAATAAGTTAAATTAAAAACTCTTCTTCTTCTCCTTCTTTGTTGTCAGTCCTTCTAAACTTGTCAGTGACAAAAAATTACATAAAGATCGAATAATGGGATATGTAAGGATTTTTATTTGTGAATTCATTTTAGTAACTTAGTTCATTATTTGTCCTTGATTGCTATTTACTTAAGGAGTAAATGTAAATAATGTTTATTTATAATGCATTAAGGCTGAATATATAGTAGGTTGAGAGGTCTTTAACCCACTGAATGTGAGATTGAATAAGTGAATTTTAATGGCATCTAATTAATATTAAAATATAATAGTAAAATAATAAAAATATTAATATATAATATTAGATATATGTAAACAAAAATAGTTTTGCGTTTTTCTTTTTCTTTTAATTTTAAAGGCATAGCGTAAAGAAACTACACCATTACTACAATTAGGAAATGAAAAGAGATATATTTACATAGGCGGAAGACATCATGTTTTCATAATGCGTTGAAAAGTTTTAGATTGCTTCATACTTAAAGGTCCGTAGTTTTGGTTATTATTTAAAAATAAATCCACATAGAATGTTTGCTTCTCTATAAATTGTCTTTAAGGGTCACCCGTAACTTCGTCTGCCTTGAATAAAAAAATCTTAATAGGTGGCCCATTTGGTCTTCCGGATTATCTTCTACATTTGTGCCAAATTTCATAAGGATCCATTGAATCGTTCCTCCATCATCCATCCGAATCTTCGCATTTATTAAATTCAGTCAACTCTTAAGATATTAATGCTTAATATATCATTAAAAAATTTCCCTTTCATTAACCATTTTCGGTAATGTGGTGATGCGTAATTGTGACGCAATTTGAAGGCCGCATACAAAAGGTCGCGGGATGAGTACGAACATAGTATTCCGATTACTTATTAATTTCATAAATCGTTTGGTCAACTGTATTTTTGATTCGTGGAAAATTTGCAAGGATGATTTTAATTTTAACATTCTATCTATATTTAAATTTACAAATGATTGGATCCTAATCTGTATATTACTATTATGATGTTATGGTTACGTATTTAATTATTCGCGAGATAAGTCTTCGAAACGAGTTTTCTATATATAACTAAACAGAAAAAACTGGGAAGACTATTCATTACAATTTGGAGTAAAAGACATCAACGAGATACTGTCAATCTCTACGGATAGCAATTTAATTTTATGTGACTTAATAACAACGCTTTTAAGACTACATAACTTAGAAACACGAAATACTTAACTTAATAGTGAGAATATGTTCATTTTTATTTTAAATTATTTACAATACAACTTTTTGTCTTTGAAATCCATTAATAAAATTATAACTTTTCGATATTTAACATTGACCCAAGTTTGAATTTGGAACTACTTATTCAAGCCCTCGATTGATGACGTCATTTATAAAAGAAACATTATAGTGAACGTTATCTTGCCATCTCGACTTGTCTAAGTGGTCACTTGAAAGGTCGCCATTTAATTGCGAAGACTTAATATTCAAAAACATTTCAAGAGTATATTTGAAGTTGGAAAATTAAATCTCAATATGTAATATTCGTTTTATAACTTTATTATATTACTAGCTGTCGCCTGCGACACCGTGCACGCGGGATTAAAAATAGATGTTAGCCGATTCTCAGACCTACTCAATATGCTCACATAATTTCATGAAAATCGGTCAAGCCGTTTCGGAGGAGTATGGGAACGAAAATTGTGACACGAGAATTTTATATATAAGATTTATGTATTCCGTAGTAATGCTTTTTATGCCTATTCATACAATTTGATTCTGCTAGACTAGAGTAATAAATGACGATTTATAGAACTAAAGGTGGGTTTCTTAGACCGAAATCTTAATTTAAAACATATTATCATTGTTTTGTCAAATATATGTTTCGATATGTTTTATACAAAGTTTTTTGGTCTCAGAAACTCACGGTACACCGTATTCGGTGGGATTATCTTTTTATAAAGTAGAACTAGCTTTTGACCTTTGACGTTATATACCTGACATGTTTTGAAAATCAATCGTTAACATATTAAAATAAAGATATGAATTTACTATGCTTTATATGTGCGCTGTATGGAGATATATTTATAAATAAAAATCTAGAATATGATCTTTGTTTTGTTTGAATTACTTGTTCTAAACCGGTCATTGTTGGCTTTTGACATTCATAAGTCGTGTTCATTTCGTATAAGCCATTGATCTTTATAAATTCGGTATATTCAGGTAGAAATGTCCCATATTAAGAGCTTGGATCTCTGCTTAGTGTATAATTGTGTTTAACTGATACATAAAAAAAATGATTCGTAGCTTACTGTCAACATCGTACAGAATACTAGTTGCCAATAAATGACGCAAGAGGGCGTACCTTGACGTTGACAGATGATTGATATGTAAATAAAATATGTCGGCAATAAACATGGCTGACGATGAGTGTCTAAAAAAATTTACGACTATTTAATTATTTTGTCGTCATGGTCATTTCGAATTCATTTCGGATTAGTCAATCTTAGCTTTTAACCTAGGTAATATTGAGTGAAGGACATAGGGTACGAAAAAATGCGTACTTTTATAAACAGGATGATTAAACTACCACTATTGTAAAATTCAACAAATCTACGAAAACTTCGACTGTACATATAAACTTCACAGCAATAATTTCTATTTTACATTTACTTTGACCTATTGCAGGTAATTTGTAGAAAAATATCGGAAATAGATTGCATTTCTTACATATCGACACGTCCTTAATTTCCTTCCTGAAGTCTCATTCTGCGTACTTTACATTTTATTATGGAAATCTAGGTCAAATAAATAAACTTCCCGTTCATATAACGCTATATAAATGTAACGTTCTTAGAAGCACAATTTAATATAAAAATAATTATTAATAATACTAGCATTCAATTACATTGTAAAATATTCATGAACGACAGCTTATATATGCAAGCATACACAAAAAAGGTTCAATAGACCTACCGCAATAATACCATGTGTTATATAGACTAAAAACTACGAAGTAACAATGTAGAGCTGATAAAGTATTACTAAAACAAAACAGATTTACATCAACGTCTCTACAACGAGGTAAGGAATGTTATTGAATTTAAATGCGTGCAATTTATAAGATTTTTTTTTATTTATTTATATAAACAAGAAACAATATATATATTACAATAAAAGTATCTATATACCCAATGCGGGTTTGTCCAGACACTTTGGTACTACGCTATTAGATAAAACAGTAGGTAAGTTTAACTTTGATTGTTGAACTATTGATTTACCGGTTGTAAGTAAACACTTAAGTGTTTTAAATCTAAGAATTAATTGTTTTCTGGTATTGATTTAAAAATATAGAAGAATTACATCCCAATTATGAATAGAAAAATATTAAGATGTCAATACACAAAAAAAGGTCACGTTAAACATATATTTATTAGTGATATTTTGAAGTGGTCGCTTATAACTTAAACCGCATGTCAACGCGTATACAATGTTAGATTAACTTAACGATAGTTTTGTTAGAGTGTGTTTTGTTTCCAAGTTATACTCAAACATACATTAACGGCAAATCATATTGAATAACTGTTTTGTAACACCGAATATAAAACAACATTTTGTGTCAAGGATTCCATCACATTTATGGTTATAAGTTTAGCTATACAAGTGTGTTCCGTTGCGTTGCTTGAAGATCCTAGAAGCCTTTTCTATTGTACTCCAGGATGCTCACTGAGGGGGTTTTTGTGGGACGGATTATATTTAATCCTGTCTTTCCCCCAAAAAGCAAGGTGAAAATCTATACATGCGTAGGATAATTACTTAATCTTATACCAGGACAAAAATGAACGTATGTTTTTTTTCCAGGAGGTCCATTTCAATATTAAGGTTTTCACTTCTTTTTATTCGTTTCGGCTTAAAATACATTATTAGTAGTAGTTTTTGACGAGGAAAAATAATTTATAAAAATTTTATTATATTCAAAATAAAATTAACATTAACATTAATATTAACATTTCTTGGATAATGTTTTACATAATGACGAGAACATAGTTTTATTATACATAATAATTTGTAAATATATTTTTTATTACAATAACGTCCTCGACCCTCGCGGCCTTGACCTTGTGACCCGAGTTAGAATTTCGAAGTTCCTGGGTTCGATTTTTATTAAAAATAAAAATAATAATTGTTTTATCAGAATTCGGTTGTTTTCGTTCTATAGTTCACACTACATTCAAACATATTTTCTTCGTCTCTTAAACAGTGAGACCTTTGGATGAAGGAGGTAGAAAATATTATACGTTATTGGAGAAAGTGAACGATATAATTTAAAGGGTCCGTATACTAAAATGTGTACGGTAATTGGGATAGAGTCACAAGTAGCAATGTTAATTGAATTATATAATACTTAAATA